AAACTGAACCAAAGTGTTAGAAACCATCTTCTTTTTTTATGTGTTTCTTTTTTTTAATTTTTATTTTATTATTTTTGTGTGCGTGTACCGTCAAATCAGATCTGACTGGTACAGGAGGAGATTGTCCCTCCTTACCCGGCAGAGCATCTGGTGGATTCGAACCGTGCGCCTCTGGGATTGTAGTTGCAGCTCCTTGCCACTAGGCCACCAGAGCTCCCCTAGAAACCATCTTCTGTACCCCGGCCTACTCCCCTCTTTCATACAGTTTACAAACACCTGAGTAAGAAGACATATGCATATAGTAAGAAGATGAGTATTTTTAGATTTTTCTTCCAAGTAGTCAACTACAAGTAGTCAGGCTCCCCTGACACCTGTCCACCATGGGCATTCATGGTCCCATTGGCATAGCCACATAGAAGCCACCACAGAGTAACAGACTGACCAATGAGTGATGGGGCTCTAGAACACAACTATGCAGAGTGTGGTTCATTAATGGGTGTGTCAGACCACAGACTGTTACAGATCTGCACCAGTTACAGCCCCTGAGAGTAAGCATTTTTTTATAATATGAAAATACCAACAAAAATAATTTAACAGGTCTGTTCAGTCTAAAAGTAAATATGAACTTACATTTCATGTCCCCTTTTATATTCTTCACTTTTTAAGTAATTCTTTTCTTGTAGCTTTCTGAAGAATTGGTCTGTGAAATGAACAACCAGATACTGGCTGTGCACTACTAAAGTTAGAGAGCAACTGTCTAGATAGTCTGTTGATTCTGTAGGAGTAAAGAAATAACTATGTATGCATGTTGTTAGGTGCTGTCAGTTTTGACAAGTAATAACCTCATGTCACAGACCTGTTTTTATGGGTGTAGATCTCCAGTTTCTTCTGTAGAGCAGCAAGAGATTTGAACTACTAATCTTAGTTTAACAGCTCAGTGCTTAACTGTTTATGCTACCAGTACACATGCCTATGAAACAGTTGAAATATCACATCGTGGATCAGGTTCACCTTAGTCATTAGCAGACCCTTTTGCTCTTTAACACTCTCTAGAGGCCCTTGGATTTAGAAGAGGTCTGGTACTAGGAATCTTATAGCTAATGTTAGATGAATCTTGACAGAAAGCAGGGAGTAAATGTCTTTCTGTGCTTTGTTGACTATGTAAAGGCTTTTGACTGTGTCAATCACAGCAAGCTATGGCTGACTCTGAGAAGAATGGGAATCCCAGAACATTTGATTGTGCTTACACAAAACCTATACTTGGACCAAGAGGTAGTCATCAGAACAGAGCAGGGAGACACTGCATGGTTCAAAACTGGGAAGTGGGTCCATCGGGGATGTATTCTGTCTCCATACCTTTTCAGTCTGTATGCAGAACAGATCATCCAAGACTCTGGGCTGTACAAGGGGGAATGTGGCATCAGGATTGGTGGAAGATTCATCAACATTCTGCGTTATGCAGATGACACAACCCTGCTTGCTGAAACTGAGGAGGACCTGAAGCACCTGCTGCAGAAGGTCAAGGACTGCAGCCTCCACTATGGATTGAGGCTCAGCATCAAGAAAACAAAGATTCTAACCACTGGGCCAGTTGGCAGCATCAGTATGGATGGTGAAGAGATTGAGATAGTTAACAGTTTTAGTTTTCTTGGTTCCACAGTCAACACTCTTGGTACCAGCAGCCAGGAAATCAGGAGATGAATTGCACTGAGAAAGTCAGCTGTCAGGAACCTCTCCAGAGTACTGAAGAGCAACGACATCAGGCTGGAGACTAAGGTGCGTCATATCCGGGCTGTAGTCTTGGCAGTTGTGTGCTATGCATCAGAGAGCTGGACAGTGACTAGGGATGATAGAAAGATAACTGATGCCTTTGAGCTGTGGTGCTGGAGAAGAGCGTTGAATATACCATGGACTGCTAGGAGAACAAACAGGTTTTTCCTGAAGAGGGTGAAGCCAGGCTGCTCCTTGGAGTCAAGGATTCTGAAGCTTCATCTGACATACTTTGGACATGTTGCAAGGAGGGACCAGTTCTTGGAGAGGGACACCATGTTTGGGATGGTGGAGAGACAGCACAAAAGAGGAACCCTCGATGAGATGGATCAGTTTAGTGATTGAGGTGGTGGAAGTAGGTGTGTCAGAGACAGTGAGGTTGGCACAGGATAGAGCAGGATGTAGGCCTCTTTTATGCAGGGTCGCTGTGAGTCACAAGCTACTAAATGGCACATAACAAAAAACAGAGTTCCTTGACAGCCAATTTGCCCAATGCCACATGTCTTTTTATTTCTTGACTTCAACTCCTATTCGGGTTGATTGTGGATCTGAGTAAGATGAAATCCCTAACAATTTCCATCTTTTATCTGTCAGTTGTGATGTTGCCTCTTGATCCAGTTCTGAGAATTTTTTCCCTTGATGTTGAAATGTAAAACATAATCAAGACTGACTGTAGTCTTTGATCTTCTGCAGTAAGTGCTTCAATTCCTCTTCACTTTCTGCAGGCAAGGTTATATAATCTGTGAAACTCAGATTGTTGATGAATGTTGTCCACCGTTAATGCCACAATCTTCCTTATATAATGTCTTATCTTCTTGAATTATTTTCTCAGAATACAGCTTCAATAGGTATGAAGAACGGATTCAAACCTGACACACACCACTTCAGTTCCCTTGTTTTGTTAGAACTACTGCTTCTTGATCTTTTGTACAGGTTTCAAAATGAGCTCATTTCAGTTATTCATGAATATTTGCAGCTGTTTCTTCCCATCTTAAGTCTTGCTGCATCAGCAAAGGAAGATCTAATTGAGTTGAAAGCTTTACTCTATTGTGTCATTAAGGTAGATTCTGCTTTGAGCAGGCAGCTCTTCCCTGTGGCCCACTGAGTGCCTTCCAATGTCAGGGGCTCATCTTCTTATCCTATGCCAGACAATGTTCCAGCTCTATTCATAGAGCTTTTGAAGCCTTACTATTTGAAAAGTGGATGGCTAGTCCTGCATCTTACAGTCTTTCTTAGCAAGCTCGGCTGAAACCTGACCCCAGGGTGACTCCAGTGATACTTGAAATACAGTTGGTGAATCTTCCAGCATCACAATAACACTCAAGTCAGCACGGTATGGCAAAACTAACTTGTAGTCTATTGAGTATTGATGGCATAATACATAGGGAGTTATGCTGATAACCCAGAGATTGTACCTCTCTGGCATTTCAAATCCACTGTTGACTTCTCTGGCGTTTCCTTCATTGCTATTTACAGTCCTGCAAAATCTACTAGAGGTACAGCTGAGGTAGCTTTGCCTCCACAACAGTGAATTTTAATTTGATTTTTTATTCTGTGAGGAGCTCTAGCAGGTGAGGAAACTATGCTGCCAACCTGAAGGCATGTGGTTTGAACCCACTAGCTTCTCCACTGAGAAAGATGAGCAGTCTCCTCCTCTGCAATTTACTGCCTCTGAAATCCCATTGGATGTTCATCTATGAGTATTTAGGATGGCAGTGAGTTGTTGTTTGTTGTTTTATTGTCTTAGAGCACTCTGGGGACATAGCCCATAGGGAGTTGAACTTTAATCCAAAGGCAACACCTCTCTGACAGTTCATATCCACTGGTAACCCCATGGGAAAAAAGATGGGACATCTCCCATGAGATTTACCTTCCAAAACCTGCTGGAAAGTCAGCCATGAGTTGATCCTGACTCAGTGGCAAAGAGTGTTTATTTTCTTACTTTATTCTTTCTAACCTCTTCCAAGATTAATAATCTCCATTTAAGATGAAATTGTTTTCTCGTTTTTCCTGATAGAAGGTGAAAAGATGAAAATAGATGTAATTCCAGAATGTTGTTAGATGCCATCAAGTAGAGTATGGTTCATTGCAGCCCTATGAACAACAGATCTGAATCTGTCCTATCCCGTACCATCCTCATCATCTCTGACATATTTGAGCCCATTTATATAGTCATTGTGCCACTCAATCTTCTTCAGGATCTTCGTCTCCTTTTGTTGACTCTATCTTTCTAAGCATGATGTCCCTTTCCAAAGAATTGCCCCTTTTAATAATATGCCCAAAGTATGTGAGGCAAAATCCCACCATCCTTGCTTCTGAGGAGACTGGCAGCAATTGCTCAAAGACATATCTATTCTTTTGAAAGATCATGGGCTATTCAGTATGCTTCTCCAGCATCAAACACAAAGGCATCAATTCTGTTATTCATTGTCCAACTCTCAGATGCGTAGAAAGTGGTTGAAAAGATAAAGACCATGGCTTGGATCAGGTGCACCTTAGTCTTTAATTCGGTATCCTTGCTCATTGGCACTTTGGCGAGGTCCTTGACACCAATTTTTCCAATATAGTACATCTTTTGAATACCCAAGGTGTTGATTGTAGACCCAGGTAAAATGAAGTTGTTGATGATAGCATTCATTTCTCGATCTGTATCACCCATTGGTGAAGATTTTTGCTTTCTTGATGGTAAGCTGTAATCCATTTTAAAGTCTCAAGTTCTCCTTACTTTCAGCAAGCAAGGTTATATCATCTGTGTTACACAATTTCATGATGAATCCTTCTGTAATGGTTAAGGCAATACTGTATTTAACCAAGAAGGGAGTGTAAATCACTGTAGAGCATTTACATTCTAAATGGTGTAATTAATGGTTTGAAACAAAATGTGTGCAAATGGGAAACCTGTAAATGTTCAAATTACAATAAAAAATTAAGGCAAGAAAAGTGTCATACTGAAGTTAGATTGATGCTCAACATAAAGTTTGAGCTTGTTTTCTCTGGTTTGAATTCTGCACGCCCTTGTGAAAGGAGGAGGAAAGTGGGGGTTAGAAGGGGGGGGCCCTCTCCTTTCTGTACTGCACCTGTGAGCGACATTCTTGACCCATGTTCGTGGAAGAGTTAGGGTCTTTTCTGTTTTCACACCCCGTTTTGATGTGTATCTTCCTCTCTTGTTTCTATCCTGTCTGTAGATCTTCAGATCCAGGGATGAAGTGGGGAAGATGATATTTTGATCCATGGAGAAAGTGGGGAAGATGTGGAATCACTTCAAATACAGGTGTCAGAACCTCTTCGGGCACGAAGGCGGAAGCCGGAGCGAGGACGTGGACATGAACTGCAGCCGCTGTCTGTCGGTCAGAGAGAGCCTCCCCAGCCTGGCCGACGCTGCCCCGCGCCAGCACAGTAGCCCGCTGCGGGAAAGCGTGGCCCTGCAGCTCGGCCTGAGCCCCTCCAAAAGCGCCCCGAGGAGGACCCAGAACTGCGCCGCCGACATCCCGCAGATCGTGGAGATCAGCCTGGAGAAGGAGGCTGAGGCGGGCACCGGCTCCGGAGCGCGCCTGGCGCGGAGGGACTCGTACTCGCGCCACGCGCCGTGGGGCGGGAAGAAGAAGCACTCGTGCTCCACCAAGACGCAGGGCCCGGCCGACGAGCGGAGACTGGGGCGCACGCGCGCGGGCCTGCACCGGCGCGAGCGGCGACACGGGGTCAGCTCGGTCAGCTGCGTCAGCGCGCTCGAGACAGACGCGGGCCCCGGGGGTGGGCGCTCGCTGCGCCAACGGCTGCAGGACACCGTGGGGCTGTGCTTCCCCGGGCGCACCCGCAGCCGGCAGGCTCGCCCGCGCTTCTCCACCAAGAGGAAGATCCACCTCTCGGAGCTGATGCTCGAGAAGTGCCCCTTCCCCGCGGGCTCCGACCTGGCGCAGAAGTGGCACCTGATCAAACAGCACACAGCACCCGTCAGCCCGCACTCAGCCTTCTTCGACACCTTCGACCCTTCTTTGGTGTCCACCGAAGACGAGGAGGACCGGCTGCGCGAGAGGAGGCGGCTCAGCATCGAGGAAGGAGTTGACCCGCCCCCCAATGCACAGATCCACACATTCGAAGCCACTGCTCAAGTGAATCCATTGTACAAACTGGGACCAAAGTTAGCCCCGGGCATGGCCGAGGTGGGTGGGGATGGCCCAGCAGCGCCGCAGGCTCACGGTGACCCAGAGGAGGACACAACCACGCTGTGTCTGCAGTCGCGTCGACAGAAGCAGCGGCAGGTGTCTGGGGACAGCCATGCACATGTGAGCAGGCAGGGTGCGTGGAAGGTGCACACGCAGATCGACTACATCCACTGCCTGGTGCCCGACCTGCTGCAGATCACCGGCAACCCCTGCTACTGGGGTGTGATGGACCGCTATGAGGCCGAGGCCCTGCTGGAGGGCAAACCCGAGGGCACCTTCCTGCTCAGGGACTCCGCTCAGGAGGACTACCTCTTCTCCGTCAGCTTCCGCCGCTACAACCGTTCCCTGCATGCTCGCATCGAGCAGTGGAACCACAACTTCAGCTTCGACGCCCATGACCCATGCGTCTTCCACTCGTCCACCGTCACTGGCCTCCTGGAGCACTACAAGGATCCCAGCTCGTGCATGTTCTTTGAGCCACTGCTGACCATCTCGCTCAATAGGACTTTCCCCTTCAGCCTGCAGTACATCTGCCGCGCAGTCATCTGCAGGTGCACCACCTATGATGGCATTGATGGGCTACCATTGCCCTCGCTGCTGCAGGACTTCCTGAAGGAGTACCATTACAAGCAGAAGGTCAGGGTTCGCTGGTTGGAGCGAGAGCCAGTCAAGGCAAAATAGGTGGCCATCCTCTCCATCTGCTTCTGTGTGCATCAGATGGACCACCAGTGACACACCAGTGTTAAGGGTTTTCAGTGCACTCAGTGCCTGTCAAGTGTCATCTGCTGTCACTCAGAAATTGTGGTGCCCATTGCAACAACAGAGCATGTGTGACTGGTATTCAGAAGCCCGCCAAAAGGGTTTGACCTATCTAGTGAAAGGTCTGGATTTTAATGGCCATCATCCTTAAGTGATGCACCTCTGAGACATTTGCTATGAAGAATTCTATTTCTTACTGAAGAACAAAATTCCCATTGCTGGATGGGATTTCAGCGGCTTGACTAATGTTTGAAATGATTAATTTTTTTCTTTTTCCTAAGGATTTTTCTATGACTTTCCAAAAGTAGCGATATTTGTGGTTATTGTAAATCAAGCTTCAAAGTTAGAAGAAGAAAAAAATTAAAGACTGCCTTCCTTTTAGGGGAAACAAAATGAAAATGCAATTTCTGGCCACACGGGCATAGTGCAGTTCACTTTAAGTGTTGATAAGAGTTTATAGTTGGTTTCCCCTTCTCTTCTGCAGAAGTTGTGCTGTTAAGAAAACCAGGTTTAAATACTAGTTCTTACAGTTTCAAAGTTAGGAAGTTAGTGATAGGATTTTATTTAAAGGCCCTAAGTATTAATGTTTTTAGGGATGCTTTCACATGAAGCAAGTGTTTGAAATAGTGGTGGCATTGTAGACCAGTTAAACGAGGCTTTAAATTCGCAAGTGCGATGGCATTGCTGATTGATTAGAGTTTAGCAGTGCCCACAGTGCAGGGGTAAGAGGGGGTGACCGTGAAGAAAATGAGACTAGAAGATGCCCAAACAAGTCAGGATTAAAGATTTACAGTGGCTTCTGATACTGAGATTATGGCTAAACTGTAATTCTTTCAATGGCAGTATTTATCCCTTTGTTGTAAACTAACATACCTGAATTGCTTCAGTATACCTTCTAGAATTTCAGTGCAGTTCATTTTTAATGGGAAATCTGGAAACTACAGATTTCAAAGGTACTGTACAACCATTGTATCTGTAAATAACTCGGCACCTTTCTGTCACTTAGCAGAGTATGCAGTACTGCTTGAGAGAGCTCTCTCTGGAAGTGCTATCAAGTACTAGTGTTTGCTTCTTAGTATTGAACTGAATTTGCAGTTCTGTCCTAGACATTTTGCACTAAGGTCACGGACTCCATCCTTGTGTCTTTTTGTTGGTGTGTTCTGTACCTTTGGGGAGTGCTCCTTGGTTTCTTTACCTGCCACTCACCTGAATGTCATTTACATCCCTCTGGCTATTGCCATGGCTACAGAAGGAAAAGCTATATTTGTATGCAACACTAACCCTCTGACTGCTAATGTATGTCTGCTTGCTGTGCCTTGTTAGGGCTGCTTTCTGTGCTAATAAAGTATGCTTGGTGTTCTCCTTGTATATCTGCTGTTTTATACATTTGCAACAATTTCTCTTGTAAACGGAATGGTTTGGGGGTTTTTTAATAAGCATTACCATTAACCTACTCTATAGTTACTACAGTCTTATGTTGACTTCTCAGCGTAAGCTAACTAAATTCCATGCCTCTGTCTTTCTAGTTATAAATCACATGTACTGTTGAACAGTATCTATAGTTACTGCGAATTACTGTACAATGTAGGTCTTAACAGAGAAAATGATCGGTAATATTGACTAAAGCTATTGATTTCTCTGCTTATAAGTGAAAGATTGAAACTAGCAATGACATGTCAATGATTTTATATAGTACCCACTGCATCAGAAACAGTTAATGATGTTAGTGAACTATTAACATATGTTAGCTCCATTTGTTGGTTTGGGGACCATTTTAATCAATAATAATTGCCCAAAATGTAGAACTTTAACCAAAGACTTGTCCATTTTAAATAAAATGGGAATTGCAGGGACTTAGGATTCCTATTAAATCTCGTAAAAGTCCCTGAGGAATATATACCAAAGTGTTTGAGAACTTCATCCAAACCTACTTTAAAGCATTATGTGCAATTGAGTTCTTTTGATATAATTATATTGCATAATTGTTTGGTTCATTTTCTTGCGCTTATAATGCACCTAGAAAGTAAACTTCTTGAAAAAAATAAAACCGTCCATAATGATTATTGGAGGGATATATATATATATACACAAACAAGATGATGTATCAAAGAGGTAACACAAGACTCCAAGAGAGCACTTGACATTTTTTTATGCTTGTAACAAATTGATGTTCTACTTGTAGTTTTATAGAAAGGATTAATGCTTTTATGTACTTCAGAACTTTCATATGTTAAATGGAAATTGTTTTAAATGTGTAAATATTTTGAGTTTCTGTAAGCATGTATACACTGTGCTAAAAGTCACTTATGTTTTAGTTTGTGTGTATTATTAATATGCAACTTTTAGTTAAAAAATTCCTTAAGCTATTAGTGGCTTACACTTTAAAAAAAGAAGAATCACCAGCATGAAATTGCACCTGAGTCTATATTCACTGTGTCTTTTTCTCAATCCCACTGTAGCCTGTCAACTATACTTATGTTTTTATGGTCTTTTTGAAGTGTATTTTAATATAAACCAAGAAATTGTTTAGACATTTTGATACATTTTCATGGTGAGTTAATTAACCCAAGGAAAAAAAGAATTTATACCCATTTTCATTCCTTCATTGATAATTTCCCCCTCGGGGATACTGTGGGTATCAGTGTAGAGAGTAAGATTATTTAAAATCATCTAGAGGCCTTATTCTGAAACATACCTGAGGAGGACTCATATATTCAGATTTTATTATCTGCACTAAATTTAAGTCTTGATATTTATTAGAGTTTTGGTTTTAATACAGTTACCTTACAAAGAAAACACTCATCAGTTTGTTTAGTTTTGTTCCTTCAGCACAGTAAAGACCTTTTAAAGAAGAAACAGTTTGGTATAAATGTAATTATTACGAATCGTAATTACATTTCTTGGCAAAAAGTCAAACTCAAATAATGGCACTTTGCAAACCAATCTATGTTCTTTTGGTCTGTGAAAGGCTTTATAACAGTTTGTCAGAACACTTTGAACCATAAAAACCAAAACTGACACCTGAGTTCCAAGCTTCATCTTCGCAAAATGCAAACTTAAGAAACATTTTTACTTGATGTTTCTGTCTGGTTGCTTTTCCTTTCCATCTCAGAGCTTCCCTTACACTAAGTTGTTTTATTGAGATTGATAATAGCTTTCTTTTTATAGCCCCACCCCCAAAAAACCCTATAAAATGGTTTCTTGGCAGATGCCAAGAGGGTAAAACTGAATCAGAACTCTTAAGAAAAACATGGAGCTTGAGGATGTCTCTCTTGGATGTGTTAACACAGAGTAGATCATGCCAGGTGGTTCACATACCGTGCACCTCAGCAGTTTAAAATAGGTGAATTCAAGAAGTGTGAACCCCAGCCTGGGAGCAAATAAGGAAAAGTCCTCAAAGGGGAACAGTACGGTTTCGTGCAAAAATACTACATATATGTGAGGCTCAGGTGTTGCCTATTTTTGTAATAGCTGATGCAGGATAGACTTGTGTCAGACAAACATGATTGAATGTCTAGAATCTAACCTAACAATTGAAGAGCTTTTGTGGGTAGTCTTTCAGTGAGGTGTGCAGCTACCCCAAAGGCCTCAGGTCTCCTACAGTGTAAGTGCAGCCAGCCGTTCTGAGGGAGAAGGATGGGCAGGCCCCTTCCGTGTGGTTCACAGCCTCGGAGGGTTGACTGAAGGTCGCTATGAGTTGGAACCATCTTGATGGCGGGGAGTTTGGGTTTGCACTTAGCAGGCAACGTTTTGTGTGATGTCTGTACATCAGGTGATATGACAAAGTTGCTGCCTTCTGAAACTTTTGCATTTTGGTAGGTGAGGCATCAATGAAATAGAAAGTTATTTCAGAAATTGAGTAAGACCAGATACGATGACAGATGAATGAGATCATTATTTTATATGTCTTTAAGTGGTGAGAGAATTTACCCCAAGATCAAACAGAAGAACATTCTTGGAAACTAAAGGCCCTATGACAACAATCTGGAAAAAGCAATGCACTTTGGGGAGGGTTGGGTGAGGGGGGAAGAAAATGTGCAACAATGAAAATAGATAAATAAAATACAATTTTTTTTTTCTTTTTTAAACTAAGGGCCCAACAATAGGAATGAGCTTTTATGGTGGGGAAGAATGGAAGGCAGTAAGACCAGTTTAAGTCAGTGTAGTGGAGATTGGCCAAGCCCTGATAGTTTAGGGCTATACGCTCAGTAAATACACTCTGAGTGTGATGGGAAGTTATTTTAGGATTCTAAGCCCAAAAGTGATAAGGTTTGCTTTATGTTTTCTACTGAATGTACAGCAAACTAGAGTGGGGCAAAGTGAAGGAGACCATGGCAGTTACTCTTGTAAGAAGTTGCGAGGACCTGGGCTGAGGGTGCTGGTTTTAGAGAAAAGTCAGATCCAGACTCACTTGATGGTAAGATTGGTCCGGTTTAGTGTGGGATTAAATGTGAATGAATAAGGAGGAATCAGAGACAACTCTTGATTTTTGGCCTGAGCAAGGACAGTGATGGCAGTGTTTTAAGACAGAAAATGGAAAGATGCATATTGAATGTGTGCAGAGCTTAGGAGTTCATCCTCAGGTTTTGTAAGATTGATTTTGATTTGGGGGGTGGTTTGATTCTGAGATTGCCGTGGAGGCGGAACCCACTCACAGCTGACCATCCAGTGGGGTTATCCCCTGGGGCAGTCACAGGACGTCACTGAACAACCTTAATGCTTGATACACCTGAACCGTCATGAACCCAGGTTTCTGACCAGTCTTCTGAGGCAGATCATTCTGTGGTTTAGAGTAAGATTGAAAAGACTCCGTCACATGAAGGGGTCTTGAAGTACAGTTGGAATGGAGCAAGGCGCTCACCACCTTGAACTTATGAATTAGTGTGAGAAAACACAAATACAGAACAGAGAGAGTGTGTGTG